TCATATGGACTTTCATTTTTTGCCTCATTTTCTTTGTTCCTTACTCTTTTTGACATTGCCTGCCCCCCTAAAAGCAGTCATGTATAAGCCTTTGTTTCAGACTCTGCTTTCTGAGGAACCCAGGCTTAGATAAGATTTTAGATATTCAGACTTTCTAAATTATCAGAATGAACACATTAATGTTTAGAAATCACAGATACTTTAGTGAAACATTTTAAAAGGCAGAAAAAGCAATGCTAGCATAAAACACAGTAACCACACAAGATCTTATTTCTCTGTCTTATCAGCAGTCTGACTAAATGGACACAAAAACAAGCCCATATAAATGCCATCTACAAGAAACTCACTTCAGATCTAGAAACACATACAGACTGAAAGTGAGGGGATCGAAAAAGGCATTCCATGTGAATGAAAATCAAAAGGAAGTCAGATTAGCAATACTTACATAACACACAATGGACCTTAGAATAAAGACTGACATAAGAGACAAAGAAGGAAACACTACATAGTGATCGTGGGATCAATTCAAGAAGATTTAACAATTTTAAAAATATATGCACTCAATATAGGAGTACCTCAATATATAAAGCAAATATTAACAGACATAAAGGGAGTAACACCTTGACAGTAACACCAAAATAGGGGGGACCTTTACCACTTCACTTACATAAACGGACAGATCATCTAAACAAAATCAATAAGAAAACATAGGTCTTAACTAATACAAGAGACCAAATGGACTTAATTGATATTTATAGAACATTCCACCTGAAAGCAGCAGAATACACATTCTTTTCAAGTGCACATGAAACATTCTCCAGGATAGGCCACGTCCCAGGCCACAAAACAACTCCCAGTATATATGGGAAAACTGAAACCATATCAAGCATCTTTTCCATCCACAACACTATGAAATTAGAAATCACCTACAAGAAAAAAACTGCAAAAAAACACAAACACATGGAGGCTAAATGATATGCTACTAAACAACCAACAGTTCACTGAAGAAATCAAAGAGGAAATCAAAAAAATACCTAGGGACAAATAAAAGCAAAAACACGATGATCCAAAATCTATGGGATACAGCAAAAGCAGTTCTAAGAGGGAAGTTTACAGTGATGCGAGCTTACCTCAGGAAAGAACAATCTCAAATAAACAACCTAACCTTACACCTAAAGCAGCTAGACAAAGAACAAACAAAACTCAAAGTTAGCAGAAAGAAAGAAATCATAAATATCAAAGCAGAAATAAATAAAACAGAGATTAAAAACATTAAAAAGTCAAAAGAACTAGTTTTTAGTTTCTTTGATAAGATAAACAAAATTAACAAAACTTCAGCCAGATGCATCAAGAAAAAAAGGGAGAGGGCCCAAATCAATAAAATCAGAAATGAAAAAGGAGAAGTTACAATCAACACCACAGAAATACAAAGGATCATAAGAGGCTACTAAAGCAACTATATGGCAATAAAATGGACCACCTAGAAGAAATGGACAAATTCTTAGGAAGGCAGAATCTCCCAAGACTGAACCAGGAAGGAATAGAAAATATGAACAGAACAATTACTAGTAATAAAATTGAATCAGTAGTTTAAAAACCCAAAACAAACAAAAGTCCAGGACCAGATGGCTTCACAGGTGAATTCTACCAAATATTTAGAAAAAAGTTAACACCCATCCTTCTGAAACTATTCCAAAAAACTGCAGAGGAAGGAGCATGTCTGATCTCATTCTGTAAGGTCAGCATTCACCCTGATAGCAATGCTAAACAAAGATATCACTCATACACACAAAAAAATTATAGGCCAGTATCACTAATGAATATAGATGCAAAAGTCCTTGACAAAATACTAGCAAACTGACTCCAACAATACATTAAAAGGATCATACATCATGATCAAGTGAGATTTATCCCAGGGATGCAAGGGTCTTTCAGTATCCACAGATCAGTCAATGTGATACACCACAGTAACAAACTGAAGAATAAAAACCATATGATTATCTCAAAAGATGAGAAAAAGCTTTTGATAAAATTAAACATCCCTGGGTTGGGGACTGTGCCAAGACAGAACTTCCCTTCCTATGAAGGGGTGGGTTGAGAATATATTACATTGACCCTCCTCTGCCCTGGCCAAAAAGAAAAAAAAAGAAAGAAAAATCAACATCCGTTTATGATGAAAACTCTCCAGAAGGCAGGCACAGAGGGAAGACAGCTCCACATAATAAAGGCCATATATGACAAACCCACAGATAAGATCATATTCAACATTGAAAAGCTGAAAGCATTTCCTCTAAGATCAGGAATAAGACAAGGGTGTCCACTCTCACCACTTTCATTCAACATAGTTTTGGAAGTCCTAGTCACAGCAATCAGAGAAATTTAAAAAAAAAGAAATGAAAGGAATCCAAATAGGGAGAGAAATAAAATTGTTACTGTTTGCAGATGACATGATACTATACACAGAAAATCCTAATGACATTACCAGAATATTACTAGAGGTATCAATGAATTTTGGTAAAGTTGCAGGATACAAAATTAATACACAGAAATCTGCTGCATTTCTATACACTAACAATGAACTATCAGAAAGAGAAATTAAGGAAACAATCCCATTTACATTGCATCAAAAAGAATAAAGTACCTGCGGGAGGGTACAGCTCAGTGGTAAAGTGCATGCTTAGCATGCACAAGGTCCTGGGTTCAATCCTCAGTACTGCCATTACATAAATAAATAAATAACCTAAATCCGCCACCCCTCCAAAAAGAATAAAATGCCTAGGAATAAACCTACCAAAGGAAGCAACAGACCTGTATTCCGAAAACTGTAAGAGGCTGATGAAAGAAACTGAAGACAACACAAACAGATGGGAAAGATATACCACTTTCTTGGATTGGAAGCACGACACAAACTGCATAATTTGACATAAATCGCAGCAATATTTTCGTGGATCTGTCTCTTAGAGTAATGGAAACAAAAGCAAAAGTAAACCAATGGGACCTAATTAAACTGAAAAGCTTCTGCACAGCAAAGGAAACCATAAACAAAACAGAAAGATAACCTACAGAATGGGAGAAAACATTTGTGAACAATGCAACCAACAAGGGATTAATCTCCAAAATATACAAACAGCTCATGCAGCTCAATATCACAAAAACCAAACAACCCAATCAAAGAAATGGGCAGAAGACCTAAATAGACATTTCTCCAAAGAAGACACACAGATGTCCAACAGGCACATGAAAAGATGCTCGGTATCACTAATTATTAGAGAAATGCAAATCAAAACTACAATGAGGTATCTCCTACACTGGTCAGAAGGGCTGTCACCAAAAAGTCTACAAATAATAAATGCTGAAGAGGGTGTGGAGAAAAAGGAATCCTCCTACACTGTTGGTGGGAATGTAAATTGCTGCTGCCACTATGGAGGACAGTATCCAGGTTCCTTAAAAAGCTAAAAATAGACTTACCACATTATTAAGCAACCCTACTCCTAGGCATATATCCAAAAAGGTGAAAACTCGAAACCAAAAGATAATGCCCCTCATTATTCGCAGCAGCAGTATTATACATGCACCCATGTTCATAGCAGTATTATTTACAATAGTAAGTCATGGAAGCAACTGATGTGTCCATCAACACATGAGTGGATAAAGAACATATACAATGGAATATTACTCAGCCATAAAAAAGAATGAAATAATGCTATCTGCAGGATGTGGATGGACCTAGAGATTATCATACTAAGTGAAGTAAGTCAGACAAATATCATACGGTATCATTTATATGTGGAATCTGAAAAAATGATACAAATATCTTATTTAGAAAACAGAAATAGACTCACAGACATAGAACACAACTTAAGGTTACCAAAGGAGAGTAGGGGGAGGAAATTGGGAGACTGGGATTAGCAGATACAAATTACTATATATAAAATAGATAAACAACAAGGCCCTTCTGTATAGCACAGGGATATATATTCAATATCTTATGATAACCTATAATGGAAAGTAATCTGAAAAAGCATATACATATATACACATATACATTTATGTAGAACTCAATCTCTTTGCTGTACATCTGAAACATTGTAAATCAACTATACTTCAATAAAAAATATTTTTAAAAATTTAAAAAAGAAATGAACAAAAGAAAATCCCATTATTTCAGCAAATGTATCTCCTTTTGATGTGTTTAAGTTCTAACTGAATTCCCTACTTTTACTATGTTCTAATACAAGTGACTGTAATATTACTTAAGTTTTTAAGTAAAGTACCTCAAATAAACCAAAACAATGTTGAGAGAATAGAACACGTTAAAATAAGAAAAAAGATTGCAATTATTTAAAAAAAAACCCAAAATTTAAATGCCTCAGAAATTAGTCATTTCCAACTGTAATCTATTCCTTCTTGTTATCAACAGTGCAAATTCGATATGGACTTAGGGTGGACATATTTGTACCTACCCAAAAGATATGTTCAAGCCCTAATATCTCGTACCCATAAATGTGACCTTATTTGAAAATAGACATAATGAAGTTAAAATGAAGTCACATTGGATTACAGGGAACCCTAATCCAATGATTGGTATCCTTAAAAGAAGGACTCAGATACCAGCACAAAAGACAGAGGGTAGAAGTCCATGTGATGACAAAGCAAAGACGAGTGATGCAGCTGCAAGCTAAGGAACACCAGGGATTGCTGGCAATTACCAGAAACCAGAAGAGGCTAGGAAGGAGTCGTCCCCATAGCCTCCTGAGGGAGCATGGTTCTGCCAACACCTCAATTTTGGGCTTTTAGTCTCCCAAACTGTAAGAGAATAACTTTCTGCTGTTTTAAGCCACTGATTTGCAGTAATTTGTTATGGCAGCCCTAGGAAACAGATACAGGACTTCGATAATTAGTGAAAATTAAACTACACAGTGCTTGTAATGGTTTTTTCCCACATTTCAATATTAAACTGTGCCTTAATTCCATATGGAATTTAAATAAAAGACATAATACTCCATGCTACTAACTATATTTACTCACAAAAACCTGGAACTTTGAAGAGTACAACTTAAGACGTAAGTTTTGTTCTACAATTGTGAGGGCTTTTCTTTATTTACATACGATGCTCACAGACCTTTAAATGGATAAGTATAATAGATTACTAAGAATAAAGCAACATAAGAGATACTGAACATCAATATTAAATTCGATGAACTTTCTACCAAGTGTACATAATCTGAGATGCCAATGAGTAAAAAGAACAGAAACTTAACTTATCCAAACTCAGTAAAGCTTCTGAAATGCTACTTGAACTGTGATAAAGAACAATCACTTTACTTTAAACATAAATGCTCTACATTTACTGAAAACTAAAACATCTCCTAGCCCCATCTTCCTTTGCCAATGTCCTCCTACAAATGTTTAGTTATGGATTTTTGCACTGTATAAAATTAAAGTTCCTTAGTGTTTTGCAACACAGTCATTCACACAAATAATACAGATATATGGCAACTCTATCCTGTTATCAATTAGTAACTAAGAATCATACATGATGTGGAGTAATAGCTGTATATACAATTATATGCATATTTCATACATGCTTATATTATTTATAGACATATATTTCCATTAGCTTGAAGATCATTATATGATAGTAGGCACATATGAATTTAACTTTATCTACTTTAAGAACCAACATATTTTATTTTTGAAAAGTATATATGGAAGGAAATGATAGGTGCTAAGAGTTGTTTCTTTTTAAATTTAGGTAATGACAAAATTGATCCTTCAACAGCCTTTTAAAATAATCTAGCCTGAAAACTTAAATTTTGTAATCAAAATAATTTATCACCATTATTGAAATTAAGAAAATATATTAAAGAGATTCTTATCTCTTCAGTGATTGCTTGAGAACCACAAAGGCATCACAAAGAAGGAACAGAGATGGGATCCATAGTTCAAAAGAAAGAGTTGAGTTTATCAATCTGATACTTCTTCCTAAATCACTATATTCCTTTGAAGTCACTAAATTGAATATAAAGCTGCAGATAGATAGTAACCTCCCATACAGAACATTATGGTAGACTTACAGGAGATTCAGGATATCTGCCTCCACAAATAAGTATGAAATAAATCAGAAAGACACTGATACAAATACATAATAATAAAACTGAAAGGTCAGAAGGCACATTCTGAAGAATATAATCTGGTAAATAAAAGAGAATGAAGGTTTACTAATAAAGTAAAATTCTCAAGAAATGCTTACTTAGGTTTAGAAAAGCCTTTTTTAAATCACACATTTAAATCTCACGTAAAAACAAAAAAAATGCTTTCTTATGAGGGCTTTTTATCACTTAAAAGTTTTAAAAATTCACAAGAGAAAATGAAATTTTCTCCCATTTCAAATAGTCTATGAAGTACCTCATTATCTCCTAATTTTTCCTTAAACTTAAAAAAAAAAAAAGATGACATTAGTGTGGTATAGAGTTCACTGTAGGTTCAGTGCTGTTTTCTTTATCCTGTTTTTCTTCCTCATGTGGTGAATCTAGTAAATTTGTACTATTTTCCTCCTCACTGGAATCACTGTTCAATCCATCTTCAACTTGGGCTAATTTTTTGTCATGTGAAGAACTTTCACAGCCTTTGTCTGTGGGAACAGCTCCTTTCCTTTGGGGTAAGATAGTGAAAAATGCTTCTTGCCAGTCTCTTGTTTCCAGGTATTCCAGAATAATCTCAAACACTGCAAGAAAGACAACTCCATGTATTTTTTCATCAAGTTCATCTCAATGCTGCATACTATATTTTAAAATACACTGCTTTTGTGTTAAGAGTGCTAGTATGCCCTAATGACTACTTCTCCTGTATTAACTGTGAGAGCCAATATGCCCCAAGGCTCTCAAGCTCTTCTAGCTTTTCCTCAATTCAGTTCTTAAGCACTTAGAGGTTTACCATTATCTGCTGTCAATTATAATAGAGCACCTTTTTCATTTCCTTCCTATTCTTTATTCCTTTCACTTCTTTATCCTTTATTTGCCAATATAAAACTAGGGAAAAAAAGGGTTAGTAGTAATCCAAATTTCTTCTCTTTCCTATATAAGTGCCACTCACTTTGGGGAGTGTCTTGCCTTATTTATTTATTTATTTTTAATACTGTCTCCAAGATCATCTCACTTTAATACATTGCTGAAGGGTTAGTTTGGACTACTTTATGATAGAAAAGTTAATTTCTACTATTTATCAGAAGCCTTAGAAAAAAAAGTTCACTCCTTGAATCAATAAGTTCATTAAGTTCATTTTTATAATTCCCTAGAGCCTGCTACAGAGAAATGTAAAAAGCACAATTAATGGTTGTGTACTAACGAAGATCTCTACTAAAATTTGTTTAAAAAGCAAAACTCCAGGCAAAATCTTAAGTCTGAGAATGTGTATTACAATTATTACATACAGCAGTAAAAAGAAAAAAATAATCCACAACAGGAGAAAGGTTACATTATTACATATATAGATGATGGAATATTTCATAGCCACTAACAATGACTCAATAGCGTGACAATATATACTAATAAATGAGGAGAAAAACACCTGAGATTTATAACATTTTATGTAATAGAGTAAGAATTCAATTATGTAACAAATAATATTATATATGCATAGGAAAGGAAGCACATCAAAAAGTTAATACCAAGTATCTCTGGGCAGTGAAATTACACCTTATTTCTTTTTCTTTATTTTTTACTATTTCTTTATGCTTTTCTACATTTTCAAAATTTACTGAAGTATGCATGTACTATTCAAATTATAAATGATTACATTTTAAAATTTTGCCTCCAAAATTGTGTATTTTCCAAAGGTACATATTTTATACTTGTCTGAAACATAAATGTAATGTTATTTTTCATAGTGTTTACTCAGGTATATTTTCAGTTTATCCCCTTATAGCTTACTTACCATGATTAACTGCCAAAACTTTTCTACTATTCATCTTCACAAAATCTCCAAGAGGGAGCTGTGCATGATCAATTCCATGATCAGATGCTTGTTTATATGTGAGTCCCTAAAACAGAGATAGTGTAACTTGGGCTAGAACATTAAATCATTTAAACTTAAAGTCTATGATGAAATAAATAACTTTTAGGAAAGACTTTAGTTCAGAGAATTTTATCTGAACAGCTGTGTGCTGTGTGTTTAACTGCTAATTTGGAAACATTCTCAATAACTATGGTCAGAATGTTGATGGCATTTGTTTTAACCAATTTACAAATGAGGAAACCAAAGACATTATACTCCCTGTCCCACCACAAAGTTCCTATGTGCCAGAACCAAAGGAAAAACCTGGCTCATGCCTTCTGACTCAAATAGCTTCTCATCATTCCACACTGCCTCGCCTCTCTCTGTTTAAAGTACTCAAACTGAATTCCTAAAGAAGCATCATCATTCTTCCCATGAACTTAAAAGACAAAACTATGTTTCAATTACATAACACTAAGAGGCACAAATGGGAAAGACAAATGAAATGAAAACCTGAATTGAACATTTTTAAAATTGTCTTTAGTTTTATTTTTCCCTTTCTGTCAATTAAAAGAATGCTGAATATGAATTTTCTCTCTTCTCAAAATTAATATCCTTAAAGCCTGGGTCTAATTAGAACTGAAAGAGCCAAAAGACAGATTTGAGAAGAAGAGCTAAATTTCTCAACCAATAGTTTGTGTATTTTAGAGACTAATGATTAATAATTGATTGAGTCAAGCGCTTTTGAAAGCAAAATTGTGTTAGTTCAGAGAAAATACAACATGAAAGAAAAAAATTTGGTTCTACTTAAATAACAAAATAGAATTTTTCCACTAAGAAAAAAATAGTAAGGCTAACGATCATTCTGATAAAACTCCCTATGATGCTACAGACCTGCACTGTCCAACAGGAGCCACATGTGACTACTTGAACTTTTTATAATTTTTAAAAACTCAGTTTCTCAATCATACTGTGCACATTTCGTGTGCTCAACAGCTACATGGCTACCATACTGGACAGGATGACATAAACGTTTCCAACAATGCAGAGAGTTCTGCACAGTGGTGCCATATGAGAATAATGAATCACTTCTTATTATTCTGCGAACAACATTTCCTTACTTAAACAAGTTGGGTAGAATTTAGCATGATGCAAAGTAGCTGGCAAAATACAAAATAATGTCTTCTTTTAGAAAGTATATTTCTGTAATTTTTCATTAGAATGAGGGAAAGGAGGTGGGAAGAGACAAAAGTTCAAATTAAAGAGAATAGAACACACATTCCATATAATCATATATTTGAAAACTGGTATAAATTTATCAGTTTGGGTGTAAACTTTGGTATAAATTAATATAAATTTTACCAGGGGCCTAGAAATTGATTAGCAGCAGTGTCTTCTATCGATACAGCAAATCATTTAAGCACGTGGGCTCCAGAGCAATCTGCTCAGTTTCAAACATCTGCTTTACCACCTATTACTACTGATTTGACACTTAATTTCTCTGTGATTCTAGTTCCTCATCTGTAAAATGTAGAAAATAATAGCATCAAACAGCACTGACCTCACTGGGCTGTCGTGAGGATTAAGCAAATTAATGCATGTGAAATGCTCTGCTTAGCTAGAGAGGTGCCTGGAATACAGCAGGCACTCAGTAAACACTGGCTGTTAGCAGTACTGATACTATCAAGAAAACTGATAAATCAATTTTAAGTGTGAGCAAAAGCAAAAATAAAAACTTAATGGTACCTTATGATGGTTGTGATCTACTAATCCTCCAATTATATAGGCTTTTGATTCATCTAATTCCTTTAGTACATTAGGTGAATCTGATGTAAGATAAATCAGGTCTTCTTTCTTTATAAATTCACTATAGTGCTCTGGTTTGATGTGGATGTCCTTTAAAAGACAATTGGAAAATGTTATTAATTAAAAGAATTTTGTGAAAATTGGCTTAAAATGATTATTTTCTTTTCTATAGACAAACCCATCTTAAAAAAAAAAAGAAAGAAAGGAAGTTTGACAGAATATTACAACAGTGTATTACTTAGAACCTTCAACACCTTATCACCTCACATCTCAACTATTTAAGTGGCTTCCTGATGTTATTTATTTCCCTGTGTCTAGACTTAGATCTCTCCAATTTACTTCCACACATGGATGGTGGATTCATTTTCTGAAAATACTACTTTCACTGTTTTATCTTTATCTGTAGGATAAAATTCAAACTCCTTAACTTAGTATCTCTTTCCTGAATATAGCACTAACCTACCTTCCTAACTTTCTCTGTTCCAACAAAACAAATGCATTTTTGTCACGTATTTGCTCACATTATTCTCCAATTCCTTTTCCATCTACATGAATCATCAAAATGAAAGGGCTTACAGATTCAATAAATTCCCTGCATCTGCTTCCACAAAAATACACATTTGAAATCTTCTTCACCAAAGCTGTCAGGTCAGAGGTACAAGACTGCACACTTGGCAATCAGAATTTTGCAAGCTACACTAATAGGATACAGGAAGATGTATCACCAGGCTCAGATGGCATTTCCCAATAATTTTTGTGGAAATTGAAAAGAAGCAGGCGATCTCGTACCTAAAATGTATATAACCTATTGATTAATAAACAGCCATTTTTTTCCTAAGAAATTATATATTATAAATTTTATCCCGATACTTAATAAAGGCCCCAAGAGGAATGTGCATAATTAGAGACCAGTGAATTTATCTCTCTCTGGAAAGCTGGTGGTATTAAGAATAATAAATTTAATAAGCCACAAAATAACTAAAAGTATGCCTATTCTAACTTATTACATTATTTGTTAGGAAAATAGGCATGAACATTAAACTTGGTAAATATATTGTACTTAAAACTTTAAAAAGCCTTTGAAAATGTTTTACACTATAAGCTATTAATAAATGCAGGCATTATGGGACTAGTGAGAGAGGGAAGTGAGAACTGGCCTGGAGAAAGGAAAAAAAAATAGGAATAACTCACTACTTCCCTGAGTAGAATAGAGTTAGGGTTCCTCAGGGATTGATACTAAACCCAATATACGTTAGTCATATTTGCAAATGACTGAGAACAGTTTGGTCAAATATATATACAAAAAAATGTGAGCCACATATGTAATTTGAAATCTTCTAGTAGCCACATTTTAAAAAGTGGGAAAAAAGATGAAATTATTTTTAATAATATATTGTATTCAACAATGCTATCATTTCAACTTATAATAAATGTGTTTTTTGGAGATATTTTACATTCTTTTTTTTTGTACTAAGTCTTTGAAATCCAATGTCTATTTCACATTTAGAGCACAACTCAACTCAGACCAGTCACATTTCAAGAGTTCAACAGCCACATGTGGATAGTGGACACCATATGGTATAGCACAGATTTAGAAGAAACAGAATGCAAGCACATTTGCAAATTTTAGAGTGACTTCACTCTTATAAATAATGTATAGCCAGTTTGCTAGGTAAAGACTGCATATAGACCTTTAAATTTTTTCCTTTTTTAAAAAATATGTTTTAAAATTGGCAGTAAAATAGCAAGCGAGATTTAATGAGAGTAAGTATAAACTCTACCTCAGTCTCTTAGCTTCTCCCACTGGTAACCTTGGACTTAGGCATAGTGATACACAGGGTCTGGAGCTGCTGACTCTTAATATTTATTAGCATTATGTAGAATTTAGATTAAAAATGTAGTCCTTTAAGTACAAAACTACTGGGAAATATGTGAGACTTTAGCTATTTTAGTTACCTTCCAGTTGACCCATCCTTTGTCATTTTCATCCATGTTCTTTTTCAACTGGCCTCCATGGCTTGTCAAGTAAAACTAAAAAGAGATTGGCAGGTATAGAAAGAGAGGGCAAATGACTATTAAAGTCAAATTATTTTGTTCCCCTCACACATTCATCTGATTATCAACAAAACACAAAATGTTTTCATTCTTGAAAAAAATAAATTTATGACACGCTTTAAACATACAATAATAAATTTGTGGTAGAAATGACATGTGTATTTTTGTTTATCTCCTAACCCACTAACTTCTGTATTTCATCTATATTTTCATCCCATTTTTCAAGCAGTTAAAATCTGCCTCGCGCTTAAGGAGCACTTTTCTATAAACTCCCTGCTTCCATGTCAAGTTTCCCTTCCCTTTCTTTTGTCATCACTGTTACTTTTTTACCTATCCAAAGTCTTCATAATTTGTCTTTGACGCTAAACCCTGAAACCTATTTCAAGTCTAATCAAGGGTAGGAAGAATGTAAAATGTAAAAATACAAAACTACTATCATTTGATAAAAAGAAAATATCTAACCAAAAATATAATAAGATTTCATCATTGAGCCAGAGTTAATTTTTAGGTCCCTCTAGAATTCAAACAAATTCAGTAAGAAAAATGGCCCTACTATCAACAGCAGCCAATTAGTCTCACAAATCATCCCCTCATTCTAGCTGTGAAAGTACGTTTCAAAATCATCAGTGACTCAAACAAGCACCATAGTACACATCAGGCAGCAACAGTGCCTTCACTCCCCAGAGAGGAAGGAACCGAGAGCTGAGAAACTGGTATGAAAATATGTGTACGTCCTTTACTGAAGACGTTGGACTACACGGCAATGAACAGGTCAATGTGCACAAGACTGATGATGACTGGGCAGTTTGTCTGTGAATGACACATGTGAAAAAATGTTTGATGTATTTTATTTTTGTAGAAAAATAAAACATTTTTGAAATAGGCATTTTGTTTTCTAAGAGAGATTATCTTTAAGATTCTTTCTTGTAAAGGCAATTGGGAATATCTATGCCTTTCCAGAGAAAGATATAAAAGGAAACTGGAGTTTGTTTTGAACACTTCAAACTTACCTGCACAGGATGCAGTGCTCGTCGATTTTCTGCATAACATCGTTGAATCTGCTTATGAAGTTTCTTAATGTCCTATAAAAGAGTGTGTTTTTTAAGCAGAATTTTCAAAATCATCTATGAGCATTCCACAATCTTACTGGAACAGAATAAGGGGAAGGAATGACTAGATGGGTACACTTTTTCTTTTGAAATACAAGTCCTTTCTGATAATTTCCTTTCAATCTCATTATATACTAACAAAATAATTACTATAAGTCAATAAATACTCTGTAACTAACCCACTATTTCAGATTTTGTATTCAACTAGCATTAAAAAATGATAGTTCATGAAAATATTTACTCTTCTTAAGAGACAACGAAAGAAAAAAAGAACTCTCTTACAGCAACACTATTACAATTTTCATAACTTACCAAGGATTTGGAAAGTAATTAAAACATGTTCTTTTCAGTAGCATTGTTTAAACAAACAGATTTCTCAAACTATTGAATAAATAATTCTATTAAGCCAATCTTCTTTCTTTTTTTTTTGATTAGGATCGATAACAGAAATACCCACAGAACTTTATGATTAATATGCAGTTACTGAGTTTTATAATTTAATTATAGTATCTGTCTTTCCCTCTGTCTGTGCTATAACATATGAATAAAAGCAACTTATTAACTACTTTAATTTTGGGGGTACAGATGTTGAAAACTTTAAGATGCATTTTAGTAAACAAATTCTTATCAAAGTCATATTACATGTTAAAGCAAGAATTATTCAGTCTATTTTCAGACCTATTAAAGGTATTCAGGATACCTTTAGTACCATCAAGCTGTCAAAACTGCAGTCAATGATAAGGCGGAGTGTGCTGTGAACAACATCTCTTCGAATACGTTTTCTGTCACTTCCATCTGAATTTGATTCCAGTTGACACTGTCGCTCTAACTGCTTTCTCTTGCGTTTTTCCTTCCGCTTTTGTCTAAAATTAGTAGTTGAAAACAATTTTTTATTGTTATTTGTATATTCAGATATTTACAAGACTTTTCTTAATAGACAAACAATTTTTAAAATCAGCAACCTAAACCGTAAGAAACTGCCATTTCTGTAGATCAAAAATTGTCAAATATCAGAGTGAGAGATTACTGGATTAAGATGGCATAGTAGGAACTTGAGCTCACCTCCTCTCATGAACATAACAAAATCACAACTAACTACTGAACAACCATTGATAAAAAAGACTGGAACCTACCAAAAAAGATCTTCTACACCTAAAGACGTAAAGAAGGAACCACTATGAGGTGGTAGAAGGGGCACACTTACGATATAATCAAATCCCATACCCTCCGGGATGGATGACTGACAAACTGAAGAATAACTGTATTGCAGAAGTTCTCCCATAGAAGTGAGAGCTCTGAGCCCCATGGCAGACTCCCCAGCCCGGGGGTCTGCCATCAGGAAGAGGAGCTCCCAGGGTATTTGGTTTATATGGCTAGTGGGGCTTAACTGTAGGAGCTCCAGAGGACTAGGGGAAACGGAGACCTCACTCTTAAAGGGCACACACAAATTCCCATGTACTGGACCGAGGGCAAAAGCAGTAATTTCATAGAAATCAGGGCCAGACCTACCTGCTGGTCTTGGAGGGTATCCTGGGGAGGTGAGAGGTAGCTTTGGATCACTCTAGAAACTGAAAAGCTGGTGGCCAATATACTGGGGAGTATTCATCTGCACAAATGCTCCTCCAGGCTGATATCTTGCTTAGGTCATTAGTACCTGGCCTCACCCAACAGCCTGTAGGCTCCAGTGCTGGGACACCTCAGGCCAAACAAATAACTGGGTGGGAACACAGTCCTACCCATCAGCTGACAGGCTCTCTAAAGATTTCCTACGCCCAAAGCCACCTGCCATCACAGGGGGAGGATCCAGACCCATCACCAGTGGGCAGGCACCAGCCCCACCCACCAGGAGGCCTGCACAAGCCTCTAGACCAGTCTCACCTACTTGGGAGCAGACACCAGGAGCAAGAAAACTATGACCCTGCAGCCTTTGAAATGAGTCCAAAATTCAGACCAGACTACCCTGGGACCAGCTGGCCCCTAGTCCTTAGGTGACGAGAGGGGAGTGCACTGCTGGGATGCACAGGACATCTCCTACATTGGGATACTTCTCCAAAGTCAAGAAATGTAACTAACCTACTACATAACATAAAAATACAATAGAAATTTAGACAAAACAAGGCAGCAGAGGAATATGTTCTAGACAAAATTTCAGAAGAAGAACTAAGTGATGTGGAGATAGGCCATCTATCTGAGAAAGAGTTCATAGTAATGGTCATAAAGATGTTCAGAGAATCTGGGAGAAGAATGGATGCACAAAAACTTAGTAGAAGAAACCAACAGTAAACTAAATGCGAAGAAGAACAGGCGAGTGATAGAAGACAGAGTAGTAAAAATCACTACCACAAAACAGGAAAAAAGAAAAAAGAAAGAAAAGAAATAAGGACAGTTTAAGAGAACTCTGGGACAACATCAAGGACACTAATATTTGCATTATAGGGGTCCTAGAAGGAGAAGAGAGAGAGAAAGGGCCTGAGAAAATACTTAATAAGAGATAATAGGTGAAAAATTCCCTAACTTGGTAAAGGAAACAGTCAACCAAGTCCAGGAAACACAGAGTCCCATACAGGATTACCCTAAGAGCAAAACCTAGACATAGTATGATTAAAATGATAAAAATTAAAGACAAAGACAGAATATTAAAAGCAACAAAGGAAAAGCAATAAAAACATACAAGGGAACTCTCATAAGGTTATCAGCTGATTTTTCACCAGAAACTCTGTAGACAGAAAGGAGTGGCACTATATATTTAAAGTGATGAAAGGGAAAAACCTACAACAAAGAATACCCTAACAGCAAGGCTGTCATTCAAATTTGACGGGGAAATCAAAAGCTCTACAGATAAGCAAAAGCTAAAAGAATTCAGCACCACAAAAACAGCTTTACAACAAGTGCTAAAGGAACTTCTCTCAGTAGAAAAGAAAATGCCACAACTAGAAACTAGAAAACTATAAAATGGAAAAGCTCACTGGTAAAGGTAAATACACAGTAAAGGTAGGAAATTATCCACGCACAAACTCGGAAGAAGGTTAAATGACAAAAGTAGTAAAATCATCTGTATACACAATAAGCACTTAAGGGATACACAAAACAACTAAATGTAAAATATGGTATCAAAAACAGTAATCATAAGGGGAGGAGAGCATAAATTCAGGGTATTTAAAATGCATTTGAAATTCAGAAATCAGCAATTTAAAACAACCATATATATATATACAGACTGCTATACCAAAACCTCATGGTAACCGCAAGCCAATAATCTATAATATATATACACACAAAAAAGAAACCAATCAAAACATAACACTAAAGATAGTCATCAAATCACAAGAGAACAAAAGAAGAAAAGGAAAAAAGATATCTACAAAATAAATCCAAAACAATTAACAAAATGGCAATAAGAACATACATATCAATAAATTAAATGTAATTTAATTACATTTTACATTAAATGTAAACCAACTAAATGCTCCAACCAAAAGACATAGACTGGCTGAATGGATACAAAAACAAGACTCATATTTGCTGCCTACAAGAGACTCACTTCAGATCTAGAGACACATACAGACTGAAAGTGAGGGGGTGGAAAAAGGTATTCTACTTAAATGGAGATCAAAAGAAAGCTGTAGTAGCAATACTTATATCAGACAAATAAACTTTGAAATAAACACTGTTATAAGAGATAAAGAAAGACACTACAAAATGACCAAGGGATCAACCCAGGAAGATGCTATAACAATTGTAAATATATAAGCACTCAACGCAGGAGTACCTCAACACATAAGGCAAATCTTAATGGACATAAAAGGAGAAATCAATAGTAACATAATGAGAGTAGGGAACTTTAACACCCACTTATATGAATGGACAGATCATACAGACAGAAAATCAATAAGGAGACACAGGTCTTAGGTAATACAAGAGACCAAGGGGACTTAATTGATAATTTAGAGTATGCCACCTGAACGCAGCAGAATACACATTCTTTTCAAGTGTATATGGAACATTCTCCAGAACAGATCACATGCTAGGCCACAAAACAATTCCCAGTAAATATGGGAAAACTGAAATCATATCAAGCATCTCTTCCAGCCACAACACTATGAAATTAGAAATCAACTACAAGAAAAAACTTCAATAAACACAAACATGTAGAGGCTAAACAACATGCTACTAAATAACCCATGGTTCCCTGAAGAAATCAAAAAGGAAATTTTAAAAATACCTAGAAAAAGTGAAAATGAAAAGAGGACAATACAAAATCTATGGGATGCAACAAAAGCAGTTCTAAGAGGGAAGTTTACAGTGATATGAGCTTACCTCAGGAAACAAGAATAATCTCAAATAAACCTAACCTCACACCTAAAACATATAGAAAAACAAGAACAAACAAAACCCAAAGTTAGCAGAAGGAAAGAAATCATAAACATCAGAGCAGAAATTTAAAAAAAAATAGAGATTAAAAAAATAAGTCAAAAGAACTAGCTTTTAGTTTCTTTGATAAGATAAACAAAACAGATAAAATTTTAGCCAGACTCATCAAGAAAAAAAGGGAGAGGGCCCAAATCAATAAAATCAGAAATGAAAAAGAAGTTACAACCAACACCACAGAAATACAAAGGATCATAAGAGGCTACTACAAGCAACTATATGGCAATAAAATGGACAACCAAGAAGAAATGGACAAATTCTTAGAAATGCACAATCTCCCAAGAAACTAGGAAGGAAGGAATAGAAATATGAACAGACAAATTACCAGTAATGAAATTGAATCAATAATTAAAAAGCCCACAACAAACAAAAGTCCAGGACCAGATGGCTTCACAGGTGAATTCTACCAAACATTTAGAAAAACGGTGATGTCTATATTCTTCTGAAACTATTCCAAAAATTGCAGAGGATGGAGCACTTCCAAACTCATTCTATGAGGTCACCATTCACCCTGATAGCAATGCAAAGAAAAATATCACAAAAAAAGGAAATTACAGGTTACTATTACTGATGAATACAGATGCAAAAATCCTCAACAAAATATTAGCAAACCAAATCCAACAACACATTAAAAGGATTATACACCATGATCAAGGTAGATTTATCACAGGGTGCAAAGATTTTTTAATATCTGCAAACTGATCAGTGTGTTTACATCACATTAACAAACTGAAGAATAAAAACCATATTATCATCTCAATAGATGTAGAAAAAGCTTTTGATAAAATTCGACATCCATTTATGATAAAAACTCTCCAGAAGGTGGGCACAAAGGGAACATACCTAAACATAATAAAGGCCATATATGACAAACCCACAGCTAACATCATACTTGATGGGGAAAAGCTGAAAGCATTTCCTCTAAGATCAGGAAAAAGACAAGGGTGTCCACTCTCACCACTTTTATTCAACATAGTTTTGAAAATCCTAGCCACAGCAATCAGAAAAGAAAAGGAAATAAAAGGAATCCAAGTTGGAAAAGAAGAAGTAAAATGGTCATTGTTTGCAGATGACATGTTATTATACACATAGAAAATCCTAAAGACACGACTAGAATTTATCAATAAATTCAGTAAAGTTGCAGGATACTAAATTAATACAGAGACATCTGTTGCATTTCTATACAGTAACAATGAAATATCAGGATAAGAAATTAAGGAAATAATTTCATTTACTATCCTATCAATAAAATAAAATACCTAGGAATAAACCTACCTAAGGAGGCAAAAGATCTGTACCCTGATATAAGGTACTGATGAAAGAAACTGAAGACAACACAAACAGATGGAAAGATATATTGTGTTCCTGGATTGCAAGAGTCATTAGTTAAAACGGCCAGACTACCCAAGGCAATAGAGAGATTCAATGCAATCCCTATCAAATTACCAATGGCACTTTTCAAAGAACTGGAACAAAAAAATTGAAAATTTGTATGGAAACACAAACAACCCTGAAGAGGCAAAAGAATCTTGAGAAAGAAGAGAGTCAGAGGCATCAAAGTCTCTGACTTCAGACTATTGCATAAAGCTACAGTAATCAAAACAGTGTAGAACTAGCACAAAAACAGATACAAAGACCAATGGAGTGGGATAGAAAGCCCTAAAATAAACCCATGCACTTATGGTCAATTAATCTACAACAAAAGGGGCAAGAATATACAATGGAGAAAAGACAGTCTCCTCAATAAGTGGTGCTGGGAAAACCACACAGCAACATGTAAAAGTATAACATTAGAACATTCTCTAGCACCATATAACAAAATAAACTCAAAATGGATTAAAGCCATACAGGTAAGACCAGATACTATACAACTCCTAGAGGTAAACATTGGCAGAACACTCCTTGACGTAAATCACTGTAATATTTTTATGGATCCATCTTTTAGAAATGGAAACAAAAGCAAAAATAAACCAATGGGACCTAATTAAACTGAAAAGCTTTTGCACAGCAAAGGAAACCATAAACAAAACAAAAAGACAACCTACGGAATGGGAGAAAATATTTGTGAAGGATGAGACCAACAAGAGATTTACTTCCAAAATATACAGACAGTTCTTACAGCTCAGTATCAAAAAACAACCCAACCGAAAAATGGACAGAACACCTAAACAGACATTCTTACAAAGAAGATAATCAGATGGCCAACAGGCACATGAAAAGATGCTTAACATCGCTTATTATTAGAGAAATGCAAATCAAAACTACAATGAGGTGTCACCTCATACTAGTCAGAATGGCCATCATCAAAAAGTCTACAAATAATATGCTGGATAAGGTGTGGAGGAAAAGGAGCCCTCTACACTGTTGGGAATGTAAATTGCTGCAGCCACAGGAGAAAAGTATGGAGGTTCCTTAGAAAATGAAACACAGAGTTACCATATGATCCAGTAATCCTCACTCCTGGTCATACATCTGAAGAAAACTCTAACTCGAAAAGACACATGCACCCCAATGTTCACAGCAGTATTATTTACAACAGCCAAGCCATGGAATCAACTTAAGTGTCCATGGACAGGTGAATGGATAAAGAACATATAGTATATTTATACAATGGAATATTATTCAGCCATGAAAAAGAATGAAATAACACCATTTGCAATAACATGGATGAGATTATTATATGACGTTAAGTCAGAAAGAGAAAGGCAAATATGATTTCACTTATATGTGGAATCTAAAATTAAAAAAAGATACAAGTAAACTTATTTACAAACTAGAAACAGACTCACAGACATAAAAAACAAAATATGGTTACCAAAGGAGAAAGGGGCTTGTGGGGAGGGATAAATTAGGAGGTTGGGATTAACATATACACACTACTATATATAAAATTGATAAACAAGGACCTATTGTATAGCACAGGGAACTATATCCAATATCTCATAATTACCTATAATGGAAAAGAATCTGAAAAAGAAGATATATATGTATATGTATAAGTGAATCACTTTGTCATACACCTGAAAATTACACACTATTAATCAACCATACTTTGATAAAAATAAATAAAAATTCTCAAATATCAGCAATTTTATATGGTCTATCTAAAAGCTTTAGATACAAAAGAAATAAATTTGCAAAAATAATATAATGCTTTCTACACAAATCCTAGCTATACTAGTAATTTCATTTATTACTGGTAGGTACCACATTATATGTACTAAAAAAACTTTATACTAAATTTGAGAGTTGTGATGAATTTTATCATTCTTCACCTACATGACTTTTGAGTAATATTTATAAACATATTAAAAGGAAAATTGTTGGTGAAAAAGACTCATATACTTTTTCTCTAATGTACATCAACTATAGTTTATTTTCTCCCAGTACATTTTGTCTGTATATAGTAATAGCTTCAGCCCAACTGCTCTCACCAAAATCTGTAATAGTTCTTTTGGTAAAATTTGAGATCTTCTGAGGCCCAAATTTGACCTTTCTGAGGTGGTTATTTTTATTCCATATCTAGGACATGGATGCTAACTATATTCCTCATCTAAATCAGTTGTTTCAGGAATTGTGCAGCTACTCACAATAGGTTCTGGGTGAGAAAAGTGTACAGTGTAAATTCATCAACATTGTTAAAAAGAATTCAAAAACACATACAATTTTAGCAGTCAATTGACAGTGTTAGCTAACAATACGCATAGCCCCAATTTTAATTAACACAATTACTTTTAATATATCAAAAGTCTATGCAAGGTCCAACATTCCATATCTCTGAATAGGGGTAGAATATATGCATTTTGAAACATACTTGCGGAGTTCTCGTTGCTCTTCCCATTGTTTCTGTTTCATGAGCTTCTTCATTTGCCTTTTAGATATGGGTTCAAACCTTTCACCTAATCCTGGCTTCTGGTTCTCCTCCTGGTCTTCACTTAAGTCTTGGTTTTTTTCATCATTAGAAGTCCCACTAACTGCTGGCAACATTTCAGATGACATTATTTGATGCTTCTGAAAAATTGAAAAGCAACTTTTGACATGAACAAATGATTCACGTAGAAAAAAAGTAAAATGAAAAAGAAAGACCAAAGGATGTGATTAAAATGAAACCATATCAGTAATGAATAAAAACATAAATTTAGGCAATTAAATGTCATTTACTGGCAAAGATCATTTTATGAAATGCGGTATTTTCATACATTATTGGCAGTCATGGCACAGTTTTTCCAGAAGGCTACACAGACCTATGTTTCAAGGGCCCTAAAATGTTGGTACTCTTTCATCCAGTAATTTATTTCGGTAGAATAAATCTCTGTAAATTAATCAGAAATATACACAAAGTTAATGCAAAAGCATATATGTGCTGTTATTTTTTAATTTTGTTTTTTGGGGGTAATTAGGTTTATTTATTTATTTACTTATTTATTTAATGGCAGTACTGGGGATTGAACCCACGACCTCGTACTTACGAAGCACGTACTCTACCACTGAGCTATACTCTCCCCCAGTACTGTTATTTTTAACAATAAAAAATTAGAAACTACTTGAATATCATCAAAAGGGGACTAAATAATAAATTACAGTTCATCTATAACACTGGCTGGAAATACTAAGCAGCCAGGAAAAACCATGTTTCCCAAAATTATTTAGTGATAATGGGAAACTGAATTGTTAAATAAGAAAATCAAAACAAAAAACAACACATAATGTCCAATTTTGTTTTAAAAAAACATATATACACATGCTTTAATTCTGACCCATGGTTTCTACATTTTCTAAATTTTATACATTGAAAATAGTTTTATAAAAGAAAATTATATTATTAAAAAAAGAGATGAAAAACACCTTTTCATAGTTGCCTTTAAAGCTATAGTATAAGAAAAATGTTATTCTCATTATCTGGGTATACATTCAGCATTGGTTTTTGACAAAAGATATGTTACAGATTTCTACATTTTGGACAGTGCAGAAAACAAATTTGGTTGTAAATTTCATTGTAAATATTCCACTTAAGTCATGGCTAAAAACCAAAATATGCAAGTTAACTCTGTAATCAGCTGTGGAATGCTTAGGGCCATTTCAAACATCTTTATTTGGATTTAACCACCCACATCTTTATACCTATTGCTCAGAACTGAACTTGCCTTCAGATTAGGGAAAGGGCTTAGAAATACTGAGATTTCTTTTCTCTTTAATTGATTATTAATATCAAGGCTTAAAAATAGTCACTTATCCCCACCAAAGACTAAACATGAAGCCTGCAAATGTTTTACTGGCCTTAAAGAAAAATTTATGATTCTCCCCTTTTACAGAGACAGCTAACAAGTCAGTGCAGAATACCTAAAAGAAAAAAGGTCAATTCCCACAATTCAGAAAATAGAAGGACAAAAACTTTTGCTGTAAGCAGTAGTTTAATTTATGGTTCTTTTTTCTTTAAAACTGCAGTGTTGTAACAGGATATATGGTGATAATTAAGCAAACTAGAAAGTTTACCAAATTTTGACTGAAAGATAAGAAATTTTAAGATGTGTGCTTTGGGGACTAGAGAAAAAGCCCTGGCATTTTACTAGGTCACAAAATTACTAAAAAGGGGAAGGAGTCATCTAGTAATCCAAGTAAGAGTTCACAAGTTTTCCTTACATTAGCAACCAAACAGAATCCTTAGTTTGGGAGAGCATCTCCAAGAAATGACATCTCAAATTTGACTCTACACTTGAAACTCCATCTGGCAGGGATAATGTCTGCTTCTGACCAACATTATACTGCCAATACTAGCACGGTGCTCGGCACTTAGTAGATGCTTAATCATATATTGGTAGAATAAATAAATGAGTGAATATGATATTACAAGGGACTTTTAAAAGTAATGAAAACAGTAATAGCAAACACTTATTAATTTACTGTGCTTAACAAAAATTTTATTTTCTAATTTACTCTTTAAAACAACCCTATGAGGTAGACAGTATATACCTACTTTGCAAAGGAAGGAGGTACAAGGGTTAAATAACTTGCCCAAGGTTACAAAGCTACTAATTCTTAAGAAACAAGGCACCTAGAGCAGATGTAGCACAAAGTAGGTCCTCAAAATACTCACTGAATAAAGTGATGGAGCTGATTCAAACCCACATTTAATTCCACTATCTCCCAGAAATCCAAAATTTTATTTAGAAAAATGAGGGTTTCCAAAGGATGTTAAACAGCTATGTTGTTTCAATCCTGCTGTTAGAGGGCTCTGAGAAGACCTGTGTCACCGAAAGATGAGAAAAAAATAGCTCTAGTTCTATTCCTATGCCACTGCATCAACAAATTGGAACAGACTTCCTAGAGATCTAGTTCTATTCCTATGCCACTGCATCAACAAATTGGAACAGACTTCCTAGAGATCACTGCAAAAAGTTCGTGTTTTGAGGCACCCTGAGCCCAATCTTGAAATATATGACAACAGTAGATAAAATATAAAAAGGGAAAACAATAAAGGTACAGCCTCTCTCAAAATTAAAAATAAGAACTGGATGGGTCTGGTGTGTAAAGGCAGCTGAGAGTTTTCCCAGCTTTAAAATAGGGATGGCCCCTATCAGGACTGTGACAACCACAGAACAAAAAGGAGGTTCACTCAACAACCAGGGTAGGCTCTGATCACCACAACATCAGTCACATCCCCAATCAAAGGGGTAACAGCCAACAAACACAGAAGAAAAACATGGCAACTATCCATACTAAAAACAAACCTTAGACAAAATTATCAGAGATGTACAGTTTACACAGGAACGCATCTTCTTTAAAATAAAAAAAAAAGCCCTTCAAGACCACAGTAGATAACTGATACTCCATAATCCACAGTGCTAGAGAGCTATGAGTAAGATGAAGAAGCATAGGAACTACTCCCAATTAAAAGAACAAGAGAAGTAAAAACAGAAAACTCTCAATGGCTGAGATGAGAGCCTAGCTAAAGGCAGTCAAAAGGAGACTAGATAATGCAGAGGAACGAATAAGTGACTTAGAAGACAGGGTAACAGAAGTCACCCAATCAGAACAACAGAAAGAAAAGCAAATAAAAATCAGTAAAAACAATATAAGGGACTTATAGGATAATGTAAAGTTTGCCCAGCTATGCACAACAGGGGTCCCAGAAAGAGAAGAAATATCAAAGGGGACTGAAAAGGTATTTGAAGAAATCATGACTGAAAACTTCTCAAACCTAAAGAAGGAATCAGATATCCAAGTACAGGAAACATAGAGGACCCCCTAAAAGAAGAAGCCAAATAGACCTACACCAAGACATATAATTAAGATCACCAAGGTTAAAGATAAAGAAATGTTTCTAAAGGCAGCAAGAGAAAAACAATGAGTTATTTACAATGGAACCCCCCATAAGACTTTCAGTTGACTTCTCAACACACACACTGCTGGCCAGAAAGGAGTGGCAAGATACATTCAAAGTCCTGAATGAGAAAGAGCTGCAACCTAGGATAGTTTATCCAGCAAAGCTAACCTTTAGAATAGAAAGAGAGCTAAAAAATTTCACAGACAAGCAAAAATTAAAAGAATTCAGCAATACTAGACCTATGCTAAAAGAAATATTGAAAGATCTACTCTAAATAGAAAAGAAGCAAGACTCTATAGAAAGGAGAAAATCATAATTGAAAATGTAACTACAATGAGTTGCAACAGGATAAACAAGAAGATATAAAAGAGGACATTGAAATCATTAAAGGTGGGAGAAGGCATCAGGAAAATATAGATTTACTCTTCTGTTTTTGTTCTTCTTAGGATGTGTTTGAGCTTATATGACTATCAGTTTAAAACAAACAGATACAGTAATGGGTTAATATACTTGAAAAACAGGGTAATCACAAATTGAAATCAAAATAGAGTCACAAAAAACAAAAAGAAACCAAGATAATACAAAAGAAAATTATCAAACCACAAAAAGAAAAAGAAAAGGAAAGGAACAAAGAGGAAATATCAAATCAACTGGAAAACTAAGTTCAAAATGGCAAAAAAACCCCACATCTATCAATAATTACTGTAAATGTCAATGGACTAATGCTCCAATCAAAAGGCACAGAGTGGCAGATTGGATAATAAAACAAGAACCTACAACATGCTGCATATAAGAGACCCACTATAGGGTGAAGGACACAGATAGAATGAAAGTGAAAGGATGGGAAAATATATTTCATGCATGTGAAAACTACAAGAAAGCAGGAGTAGCAATACTGATTTCAGACAAAACAGACTTTAAAGCAAAGGCCACAAAAAAAGATAAAGGACACTATGTAATGATTAAAGGAGCAATACAAGATGAGGATATTACACTTGTTAACATATACACACCCAATATAGGAGCACCTAAATACATAAAGCAAATACTAACAGACATAAAGGTAGAAATTAATGGGAACACAATCATAGTAGGAGACTTTAATACCCTATTAACATCATTGGACAGATCTTCCAGACAGAAAGTCAATAAGGCAATGGAGATACTAAATGACACAACAGAACAGTTGGACTTGGTTGATACTTTCAGGGCATTACATCCTGCAAAAACAGAATATACATTCTTTTCAAGTGCATATGGGACATTCCTCTCGG